GAGTCAGCTAGAGTAATGCTACCCCCCGCCCATTAGAAATGGACTCGTAGGCGTATGATGAGTGTGGACGAAAACGAAGGATTTGGTGCGGTTTTGTATCACTTTGGTTGAAGTTTTCTCCTACTGACTTTAGTTATGTTGCTGTTACATGTGAGTTTTCACATGTCCATAAATGAATAAATAAATAAATTTCACCTGGTCGATCGTTTGCATGTTCCTTTTCAAAATCTACCTTTTTCTTTGCCCTACAACGATTCTCATTTGAGGTTTATAAGCCAGACGTTGCTGACCTGAACTTGGACAGCGAAGCGAGAGAGTTCTGGCTACGCACATTCGAGAAGAGTGTAGATAATGTGAGTTTTAACAATGCTGTTTTCGTGCATATCTACTCAATTTTATTTTGATCATATCAGTTTATCCACTATTTCCTTCTAATTGCTTTCAGGTGATAAAGAAAGCTGTTGAATCACAGGAAAATTGTGAAACGGCTGCTTATCGAGTGCAAGTTTTCCGCGAGAAGTTTCTTAAGCAGCTAATGCTTATACGAGAAAAGCCATTGTCAGTTTTATTTTCCATTTCACTTCATGAACAGTTTAATTAACACGTTCATGAGCACGGCCTTTTGCCATTGAGTGCCCGATTGGCTGCGCTGATTCCGTATGACAGCCACGGTGTGTCGTAACGTTAAGGAGCAATCTGAAGCAATGAATTTCTCCTTCAGATTGTACGCTAACCATGCCTCGTCGCTTTCTATTTTTTGTCTTCGGCTCTAATATTAGCATTGACTTTTGATCGCTCCATCGGTCCAAAACTTCATATTTATGCCTCAATAGCAAAAGGTCAACGTTATACGACCCATCAGGTCTGTTAATTTCATGTCTACCAAAAGCGTAGGACGCATAGGATGTGTCGCATTTTCACGAACGTGTTAATTCTTTTCCATTCGCTTCAAGACGCTTACCGCTACAACATTTAGTGCTTACGGGAATTCAAATGTCAGAAATCTTCTCGATCTCAGGGAGCAACTACTCAATGAACAGAATTTTGATGACTCTTATCTTAACGTTAGTTTTCACAGTTAGTTGCTACTGTTTAAAGCTTATTTTCATTGTTTTCTTAATTCATGTTGTTTTCAGCAGAAGACTCTAGAAAATGCTGTTGCTATCAAGGAATTACCGTCTCTGTTAAAATCAATCGACGAGGTTTGATATTGGAAGATGTTTTGTGCACTTTTTGGTGTTCGGTAAAGGCATCTGCTTCGCTTCAGGTTGATGATAACGATGAACGATTGTATCGTGTGGCCTTGGGTCTTTTGGCTGGAAATGTATTTGATTGGGGTGCTCAAAAGGTTTGTTGGAATTGTTGTTTATGTCGCTGTTCCTTTTCATATCAAATGTTCGTATTCCATATTCACTCCCTTTTTGTCTCACTGATGTGGTGTACTGACTAAACACTGGGGTGGCCGGGTGGCCAAAAAAAAGAGACACTTTAGCCCATGGCGCACATCATCGAACTTTTCGTCGCACAGGGAGCCGATGTTAATGAAAGTTTTACGGCGGAATATTCCTTAGGTGTTCCCCCGTAAACAGAAGCAGGCCCTCCTTCACTGCCCCCGCCGTCTTCAGAATATGACGTCATCTGCCGTCACCGTCGAGCTCAACGAGGCTTACCGTAATCGCTCCGGCCTGAAGCTGCTACATAATTTCTTCAATGATTAACTGTGAATAGCTTCCCAGAGACATTAGCTGTGACTATGCAAAACCGCTTTTGACCAGCGTTTCAGGACGTCGTAATGGTCTATGGTACCTCGACGACCTCGTTGAGCTCGTACCGTGAACCATGTTTCCGTGGGAAAATCTTCTGATGTCGTCGGTGTAGAAGGCTGTTGTGTAGCTTGTTGATAGATTATAACGTGCTCTTCAATATTCAGTTGGGGTCATTTGGTTTGGTTTCGCGACGCGTAAATAATTCCGTTTTGAATGTGGAGTGAAGTGTCTTTTTTTGGATACCCCTGTACTCAGCAACTTACTTCATATTGGTTTTGGTTTTGCTGATTGGTTGCGTTAGCTGTGCCTTCGTGGCAATCTTGTCCCGCCCGAAGGCTCCTTACGCGGTAGCAAAAATAGGGAGGATATGGGTGCAAGCATGAAACAGTAGGTAATTCTACTTGCTGGGGAAGAAAAATAGTAAAATAAATTACAGAGAATGCCCTTACAGTGAGTTATTGATGAAAAGGCAGTCAAAAGAAAGCAGGGTAGAGGAGGTGAAAGGTGCCTGATGAAGAAAAACCCAAATGAATTGCCTCTTAAAAATGAAGCAAACGATAGCGGTAATAGCAGCAGCACCAGTATGCTCTTGCTATTACTCAGCCCTTGTAGGCGGGCAAAAGCTTCGGCACGGCCTTGCCAGGCCCAGCACCATACCCTGCGCCACAAAACGCTCATCTCGGCACCCTGGGGGTCCACTTGCCTTTCCACTAGGTAAGCCGACCCTAACGCAGCTGAAGGGAGGGAATTCCGCGCGCCACAGCAGCAACTCCCCACCTTTCCCCTAATTACGGTGGCTTTCATGAATTTTCGGAGCTACTCTGCTGGACACGCGCATTTTCGACATTCAAATATAATACTTACAGCTCTCTTCAAGTTCAGGTTAACGTGGAATAATGATCAGAGTCAACCCTGCGTTGCGCAGTTCTCAACGGCCACGTTGCGCAGTTTCGCCCGATTAGACACGTTCTCTCGCGCGAACATTCACACTCGCATGCTCGAGCCGTCTGCGTCTCCGCCCATACAGCGTGCGTTGAGGATCTCTCAACGTGCCGTTGCGAACTGCGCAACGCAGGGTTGACTCTGATAATGATCACCATGACAAAGTGAAGGCTTTTTGCTTCATGACAGATACTAAACCCTTTTCAGCAAGTCGCCGGCGGGCAAATCGTTTTCCAATTTTCAATTTTGAGCCTTTAGAAGTCAATCTACCCAAGTGGTCACTCTTTTACTAACTTAGGTTAGTTTGAAGACATTGGTTCTCCTCTAGAGCATATTTGTGTACGTCGCAGTCAAATATGGACACTTCTGCAGTAGACTCTTCTGCTCTGAGGTGCGCCATGCACTCGTTTGTGGTTAGTAGTTGGAGAAGCACTCGGAAGTTGTAATCCTATATCCTATTGTCAGGACAGCAAATGTTCTGATTCTAATCGTTTAATGCTGTGAGCCTTAGCTTCGAGCTTCATTCACATCTGTATTACATTTTTATTTCACCCATTGCGGCGTTGACTCCTGCGAATACGACCCTCTTCTTCTCCTATCGCCCAATACGATTCCACGCGCTGTACTAGATCCAACGGACTGTGGACCTTGGGCAGGCAACGGCATCGAGGTGGTGGGCGTACGTGGTTGCCTAGCCTGGCTGTGGGTGCAAGTTCTCCAAGGCCTTTTTCTTGTTTCAAATCCTTTTGTGGTTGTGATCCTAGCAAACTCATATGCGGGGGGGGGGGGGGTCAACCAATCGACCTAATCGCAGAATGGCCCTTTGATAAAAGTTCACCTAATGATTCTTGCTTCAGGTAATAGAAATGATGGAGTCATCGGAGGGCCTTTCATTTTCCGCTGCTATAGCCTCAATACCAGGTGGGCTGTACTGTATTTATCATGTTGCTATATTTATTCTGGTCTTGAATCCGGTGAAAATGTCGTACTTCAGACAGACCATGGTTGATCGACTCTTATGATGAATTTCAATCATCGCTGAAACTGAAACCGTACAATTGTGCTGCGATATTCGTTGACAACAGTGGTGCAGATTTCATCCTAGGCGTGATACCGTTTGCACGGGAATTGTTGAGGCGAGGCTCTCGGGTGAGTATTCTTGAAATTACAGCGAGAAGTTGCGGTTGTTGAATTTTTCTGGGGTTTAAGGTTATAATCGTATCGAATTTGTCACCAGCGCTCAACGATTTGACATATCCCGAGATGATGCAGATGGTACCACTTTTGCGGCAGGTGGATGAATCGTTGAATGAAGCTATCGGCAAGGGAAGACTGACGTTTGAGCACAGCGGACAGAGCTCTCCTTGCTTGGATCTGAGGTACGTATTCGGTATTATCCTCACATTTGAAAACTCCAAGCTACTCTTTATAAAGTATGGAAACTGGTAAGTTTGTATGGGTGGGGTACATATTGTTCTAGTTAAGGGGTGTTTCTATCAGCTATTCGACGAAATTTTTACGCAAGAATGCGCCTTTTCGAGTGGTTACGCGTGTGGCCATGAGTTTTTGACTCATTTGGCAGCATTGTCCCTGAAGCCAGTTTTTCTTTCGAATTTAGCAATGTGTGTTTCATGCTTCCACATCAAATACTATGATAAATATAATCAGGTGTCAAAGGGAATTCGGGTTTTGAAGGGGTAAGTTTAAGTATAGGGTGATAGGTCAAAGAGTGTGTATTCAGTATAAAAAGCCGAAGTACTCTGGTAGTTTGGGCACTATTTAACCCTTTGAGTAAAGGACAATTAGTGCCGTGTGTCATGCATTCACGCAACATTGGGTAACATTGTTCCACGCGGCAAAAAGTACGTCACCCAGCAGAGGGTAACACTGTCGCCAAGGGTTCAAATGATTATATCACAATTTATATAAGTCTTATCGTCTTTTGCTGGCGAGGAAATGTGGGACATGAAATAAGTCATAATAGTGTAGCAAAGAACACATGTATTAACACAGTTGTTTCAAGCGTTGATGGACGCGCTGTGTTCAACCCTCCCGCCTTCAGAATATTACATTCTCGAGGATCCCTAGAAATTTTCCTCGAGTATGGATGTTCTTTCTTGGCAGTAAAAATTCAGAAGTATGCATCAACTTCGCCTATACATTTTATTGATTACGGCATTATGACATCAAATATTATATTCCCAACCCAGCGGTACAATCTTTCAAGTTTTTTTAAAGGCACTTCTAGCACCTGTTAGAAAGCACATAAATTGAATCTTCGAAATCTTCCGAAACATTGTCTCAGCTAAAGTAGGACAGTTAAAGGCATGGCTCAGGATCAAACTGGGTGGCTCTTGCAAACGAATATGAAAGTAATTGCGGAAGGTCCGGAATTAGTCGGCAGTAAACAAAAAAAAGAGAAGGATTTGTCAAGAACGCTTTGGTCAAGGGTTTGCTAGTCATTGTAATGCTTCTGTGCTAAGCCAGTGAGAGACTGAGCTCGGAGAATAGATATAAGGCGAGAGAGCGCAATGTATGAGAGGGGCGACGAACTTTTGGCTCGTCCGGGTTAGCACGCGGCAAATTGCGCGGCGAGCGGCGCGGCGATCCCGACGCATCGCGGGAATTCAACACGTCAACGTGTGAAGATTGCGGATAAAATCCGCAAGGTTCTGCAATACGAAATACATCTGAACGGCTGGAATTTTGAGGACAGCGGTGGTTGTAACAGTAGGAAGAGATGAGAAGGAACTAGCATAGTGCTGTTACGGCAATCAGGGCGCTCATGTCTTTGGGGGGGGGGGACGTTCCATTAGGGGGAAGTGAGTGAATTACTGTGTTTGGGACGAGACTTAGGGAGGAGAAGGGATTCTGGGGGAAGTAATTTGTGTTCTCCCTGGCGTTCCTCTCCTGTGCTGGGCTTAGTCCTAGTGACCTACCGTCGACCCTGTTTTGTTGTTTTGTTTCGAATGTTTCTCCTTTGGACGTGAGCGCCTCGATCAGCAAAACATATATAGTTGACATTAAATACCTCAACAAAAACTCCCAATTTTAGTGACTCTTATTTGCTTTGATGGTAGTAGTGACATTTACATGAATGCCCTCACTCACTCCTTGCGCTGAAATTCTCCTCACCGATACTGCTGCTTCCAATCCCCGCGAGCGGAAAGATTTTCAAACAGCAGAACCATGCGGAGTTTATCCGCAATCTGCACACGCATTGACGTGTTGAATTCTACCCGAAGAACCCGCGAAGCCTTGTCTCGTCCAGATCGCCGCGCGTGCCGCCGCGCAACTCGCCGCGTGCCAGGCCGGACGAGCCAAAAGTCCCGCACCCGTATGAGAGGGTGCCATACAACAGTTTGCTGCGTGCAGCGAGCATTGCACCTATCGCTTGAAAAAAGGCTTTCTGCAATATCTTAGTGCTCTTTTCGAGCGCTCTCAATGCACGGTATCGGCACATCTGTGATCGTCCTTAGTTGTCCATCCTGAAAGCGAAGGTAATCTTATACACGACTTCTGTCTGGATCGTGCTTTGGAAATGGAAAACCGTGGGTTTTGTAGAATTTCTACAAATTTTAATTTACCCACTGCAACAGAAGGGTTTTGCAGACAACACTTGCAGCTGCAATTTCAAGTAAATGTTGGGATGACAAAATCTCCTAGAATTCAAACCTTCAAATTTTTCCAAAGTGAGTACTAGAGGAGGCTGTGTCTGTAGCGGGCAGCAGCATGGTTTCACTACCTTGAAACAATGTTAAGTCTCAGTGGCAGAGTGCGCTAAGGCGTGTTAGAACTGAAATCGTACGTTTCTAAGCCTTTTTTACTTTAGGAGAGTGCACTCGGTTTTGAATCGTCGAGTTCTTGAGGAACACGTGGATCTAGTCGTGATCGAAGGCATGGGGCGTGCTTTACACACAAATCTTCATGCCCAATTCGTTTGTGATTCGCTGAAGGCAAGTGATATTTCTAAAATCTAAAGATAAAATAATCCTCGGTTGTCTATAAATTGTATTCCATGCTCAGGTGAGTCAGCAGTGTATATTGAGCGGCTTAGACGTGGTATAAAATATCGAGAGTATTGAAAATCTCATTGACTTTTGTGGTTTTCACCGGGCGTGTGGCTGATAAACTGCAAAATCAATAACTCTTTTTGCGAAGGCCTTGAAAGAATCATTTCCTCTGATTTTTGAAATCTTTGTTTTTCATGTCACTTCTGAGTGTCTCAATATTTCTTGCAGACTCACCTCGGTACAGTACACAAAGGTGTGAAGAGAGTATGAACACTTTCCGATCGATATATGAAATTTTTGAATGAATAGTGGACAATTTTAAGGCAGCTGTCATCAAAACTCAGTGGTTGGCCGATCGCATGGGTGGCGAGATTTTCTCAGTGGTTTTCAAATTTGAACGGGGTAAAGGAAACGGTTCCTATTCAGCAACGACAAAATCATTAAATCTCAGTGTTTAATTACTGTTTCATTCTTTCTCAACTCGATTTTCTCAAGTTCCATTTACTTGCTGTGATTTCTGTGATATCGAATGTTGTGATTGACTTATCTTTCATAGATATCTGCGTTAGCTCAGCCATAGATGCGATCTAGTCGTTTGAGCTTCCTTATATGCTCTTGATGTATAGCTTACGAATTTGTAGTGTATAGTTTTATGAGGAGAATACCAGCGATGCAGTCGATTCGTTAATCTCAGTGACTGGTTTCAACATCTCATGTCATTTTAAAAATGATTTTTGTCGACCACTACAAACTCTCTTTTATGTATAGGTTTGCCACTGTTGTGTTGCATTCATTCTCAAGCTTGAGTACTTTAACTTCATGAGTGTTTCTAAGCCGTTCATAGTTGCAAATAACCATTCTCGCGTATTTTACTAACTACTACTCCTGAAGTGTATGAAGTGAGTGCAAGTTTCTCTTGTGATCTGTTAGAATATGTGATTGAGAGATATAAATACATGTACATCATCTCTGCTTTTCCCATTTCAAAAAGATCTCCATTAGGCTCCGGGTTGAATATTTTCGTAAGGAAGAAGGCAGATATTTAATGAATCCTGTGCCATGAGAGGGTGAGAAGCCCTACTTCGTTCGTGAAACGTGAAGGCATTACCCACAATAAAGCGACGCGAGTGAATCTCTCCATTGAGCAGGGTACAGCTCCTGAGGAAGGTGAACAACCTTCCGCAACTGTTTCTTGAAAGTGCGTAAATTTTGCATAGTCACAGTGACGCCTCGACCCGGGCAACGTGTCGGCTGTGGTTTAGTAGGACAAAAGCAACTTTTTCGCGTTTCGCGCAGGAAACATTTTTCGCTGCGGGAACCGGGTCCACTCATGATCAGCGGTGGACCTGAGGTTCCTGCAGAGAAAAATGTTTCGCGCTGTAAACGCGAAAAAGTCGCGTTCTTCCTAGTGAACCAGACCCCACCACGTCCCCTTCGCTGGCGGCAGCCGTAACAGCGCACACGTTACTTTATTCTATTCTGCTTGTTCTAACGAGGGAAGGTCATCAGGCCGGTCCGGCCATTTGCAATGAGTCGTATACCGTTGAAGTCGCCTCGAGGCGCTGAGCTCAGAACTGCCTTCCTTATCTGCTAAACGATTCTTGAACGTAGTTATAAAGCAAGGAAGCGCAGTGGCAGTGCCCCGAACTCGCGAGCAAGAGGTCGTGGGAACGGCTCCTCGGAGAGTCTGTTTCTTTTGTGCTTCGTGAAGATGTAGCCAGAAAGCTTCTAACTTCTTAATTTATCAACTTTGCCATTAGTTCCCTGTACGAAAAAATTTCGAGCAGTTCCTTGCAGGTTTGGGCAGTAGTCGTCCATGTATGAACATGGTGCCCGTAATGCACGTGTCAGGCTTTTTCGCGGCAAACAGGCGTGATATTCGTGTTCAGGAGATCAAACTACCCTTGGAGATAAGTTTCCTACCGAATCTGAGATTTTGACCCAACCCTAAAAAATGAGGTGAGTCAACCATCATATCATCAACCTATCGTTGAACTCTTGGCATGGAAATTGCCCTTCCAACCAAGATTTTGAAAAGAGAAACGTTCAACGGCTCACATTCCGCATAATGGAAATGATTTACATGACTCTGCATCAAAATTCAGGGAAGGTGCTTTTCCAGTTAGTTTTCGATTCATACCTTCTCTTTGACTGTATGTTGACTGCCCTTTCTCGAGTGTAGGTCAAAATCTCAGATTCAGCTGGAAACTTGTAACCAGGGAAAATTCGGTCTCCTGAACACGAATATCATACTCGTTTACCGCAAAAACACCTTATCAGTGGGCTATGAGCGTCGTTTTCAGTCATGGCAAATATTAATTAAAAATAGCTTCAACCTGCGCAGAGGTGCTCGCTAACTCCTTACACAGGCAGGTAAAGGCAGGAATTGAGGAGATACTGTCGCTAAAAGCCTTTCTGGTCATGTTTTCAAAAAGGCAAAACAGCAAACACCACGAGAGACCGATCCCATGACCTCTCGCCTACAAGCCTGGAGCGTTACCACTTACGCCACGTCAACCACGAAGTGCGCCTTCCCGCTTGGTTGGGGGGGGGGGGGGGGGGGGGGGGGGGGGGGGGGGGGGGGGGGGGGGGGGGGGGGGGGGGGGGGGGGGGGGGGGGGGGCGCAATGATAGCGCTCACCCAAGTGCGTATATCATAAGTATATAGACGCACCATCTGAAAGAACTGAAGCTGACTTTCATAGAAGCCCGACAAACAGGCTTGTCACCATCTGAATCAGCATGCACGAAAACCTATGTTTACCAGCTTTCCACATGAATTCGAAGGAATTCGGCTTTTTTCCAACAGATGAACATTATTTTCCCTGTATCAAAAGTATAGACGCACTAAATTAGCTCGGTCAAAATAAAAGGCTACACAATGGTCAACTTGCCATTCCCAGGAATTTAGTAACGTAGGGAATGAGTATAATGTATGCTATACGAAGTTATTACTAAGCCGAGTAGGTACAGGTTCGCGCCCTGTACACAGCATACCTAAGCAATTGTCGAAATGGTGAACAACTGCAGCGTTCATCAAGGTCTATCGACCGATTTCTACATGACCCAGGATACTGCGGGAGAAAAGAAGAGTTCTGGGAGGCCGAAGAAGCTAACTCCACAGCAGGAACGTGCGATTAGACGCCTCTATTCCAACTCGACTATCAGCAACAGTTTGAGTTCGAGCCACCTTACCGGGTCCATTGTCCAGAATGACGACATGTAGGGCAATCAAGCGCAACAACAACATAGTTAGGTGTCGTCTCCGCCCAGCTTTCCACTTACCGACGCCTACAAGGAGGCCCGACCCCAGTTTGTCAGAAAGAAATGGCAACAAATTAATTCGAAGATACACGTCCTCCTCATGAAGCTCTCTGAGTTGAAATTTCCTATTCAGAGCATTATTTTCTGACGAGAAATAGTTCAACTGGATGGGTCAGATGAAATGCGTTCACTTGGGAGATCTCCGCAAGGAACAGAAGTTCCTCAGTAGACGTGATTTCTGTAGAGGCAGTGTGATAGTTTGGTACGATTCCATTGGAACTGGAAGCTTGAGGTTCGCCTTCACCTCCACTCATATGGACTCGTCGGACTACCAGGACGTGCTACGTCGTCATCTACTACCTTTTCTGGCACGTTCCGAAGAAGGAGAATTCGTTTTCCAACAAGACAACGTGGCGACCCACGAGAGCAGGTCCACAAAATCGTGGTTAGAGGAGCGAAATATAGTCGCCATGGGACTATCCTGATAATTATTCATAGAGAGCATCTGGGGCATCCTTGTCGGAGATGTTTACCACCAGGGGACAACTTCTGATAGAGTGAGAGATCTTTAAGATGACAATTGGTCAGGCCATGGGATTGTTTGGATGTGTAATTGCTTTATAGATTACTTAAATCATCGCCAAATCAAATTTTTTGAAAACAATTTCAGAGAAACAATTAATTATTAAGAAGATGTCATATGTTTGTTTTACAAATGTATTAGAACGTTAGCCTCTCAAAGCTCAAAGGTGAGAAGGGAATCTGCTACTCGTGGTTCCGGTTCGCGAGCTGTGGTCCCCAGCGACACCGCGCGCTGGGCATTGGCCTCTGCGCCACGGGCCGATAGCGCTGCATGACCAACTGTAGGGCATTGCCGCGCCTCCGAGTCCCGCCTCCAAGCGCGGACTAGCAACGCGACTGGCTAGGAGCGAAGCCGGGAGCGCGGAGAGCACTCAGCCAGTATGGGCTACGCACTGTCTTGTGAAGCTGGGCAAGTCAAGCGCATCGCTCTACCCGATAGACGCTGTCGGCTGCAGACGCCTGCACTTGCCCACTTACCACCGAAGACTCGATGGATAAACGATGCGATGGTTTGGTTCCAATCAGGATCCACAACCCAATGTTACGACAAGTAAAACGAGGAAAGTCGTCATTTTGCTAGGCTTCCTAAGTAGGGGGTCGGTCCTCGGCTTCGGCGCTCATGGAATTTAGACCCCACGAATTTGAATGTGAAACTGGGGTGAAACTGGAGTATTGCGTGTGACAATATGTGATGAGTTGGGTTAGTGCGAGGCGTGTACAGGTGGGGGAAAGAGACATTTTGCCCAGATCGAACCTCTGCCCTTTTTCTTCGCAGAGATTTAGCAAAATATTCCCTAAATGTCCCTCTATAAGTACACGCAGGCCCTCCTTCACTACCCTCACCGTCTTCAGAATATGACGTCATCTGTCACCGTCGTCGAGCTCAGGGAGGCCTACAGTAACTGCTTCAGCCTGAAGCTCTTACATAATTTCTTGGATCGATTCAACGTGGGATAGTTTCCTAGGGACATTAGCTCTAACTATGCAAACCCCTCGGAACCCGCCCTTCGAACAAGTCTTTTAAGTTACACGAATGAACCGAAGAACCGGCAAAGAATTTTTTCGACCGACCCCATTGAGCTCGACCAGAGCACCATGTTTCCGGGCAAACTTTTCTGATGCCGTCCACGTAGATGGCCACTATGAAGATTTTCTTATGAAATGAAATGCGCTCTTCAATTCTAAGTTGGAGCACACGCTTTGAGCTGAGCAAAGTGTGATTAAATCCATTTGAGTCTGGAGACAAAATGTCTTTTTTTATTGGACCCCGCGTAATGTGAAGGGAGAAAAAAGTTGCCGTTTTACTGCATGTCTTTCCTCCCGTCCCCCTCGCACGACAGCCTTTTTGAGGAAGTGGGTGGAGTTTGGTGTGGTGACTGGTCTCTCTGGTCTCAGAATCAAATACTATAGAAACAGTCATGAATGGTGGCGGTGGTGGTTGGGGAAGGAAGAAGCGTGGTCGTATTGGGGGAGCCTCCTGAGTCTCATGGTGATGGTGGGGTCGTATCAAATTCCCCATGGAGGGGGGTCGTAAAAAATTTCCGAAAAGTACCAACGGTAGGGTCGACCCTGCCTCCAAGCCCGGCAGAGGATGAGAATGTAGGTCATCGAGTTATTCACCGCCAATTGTCGCCAATAAATATGAGTATAATGTGAGTTTTTCGTATGTGTTGTTGTAGTTGGGTTGTAGTTTGGGGAGCGCCAGGGCAGGGGCCCGACTAAGGCGCAGTAGGCTTTTCTTGTGCTGTTATGTTGTGGGGTGCTAGCCGGGGCAAGGGAGCCCTCGGCCCTTGGGCTGGGAAAGCCCGGGCCGTCGGTGGGCCTTGCCCCCGCGGGTTACCGCTTACCGCGACCCTTAAACCCCCTTCCCTGGGTTAGGAACCCGTGACGCCCCGGGGAGCGGAGGCCATGCTTGCGGGAAACAGCATGGTCCCCGGGAAGGACCCGTAGGATGGCGTGTGTCCTGGGAAAGGACCACGAGGGCTCCGAACCACCTCGATGCGTCGTGTTGGAGGGTTAGGAGGGCAACCGCTCCCGAACCACGACACGATGTATCCTTTACGAAGGCATCTCTCGTAGTACAACACGTTCGAAAAAATGCTTAGCAGGAGTTAGAAACTGGGACTTTATTTCTTTCAGAATTCCTTTCCTTTTTTGTACGTTTGCTAGCGAGGAGTTCTAATCCATCAAACTGAGGGTACATTTGCCGATTACCGGGTCGCCCGCGTGGCAGGCGAGCTCGCTTTCGCGTGTCCCAACCCACGGAACACTGTACACATCACAACCGCGAGCCGAGCGTGTCGGTGGAAGATTGTACAACTACCTATAGGTAGTAATTGCCACACATTTCTACGTCCTACTATTAATTTTGTTTGAGTAAGAATAAAATGACTCATTTTTTGCCCCCCCCCCCCTGTATTTATATGTCCAGTAACCCATCATTCTTTCCTTGTCAACTCGCAGTAGATTTAAAACGATTCTGTTCAACATGACTAAGCTAGAGAACGGAAAAGGTACAACCTTATTGAGAGTAAAAGTCTTACGTTAGTCTTACAAACAAAATCTTCATTGTATACTCACATAACAAAACTAGTAACAAAGTAGATCACATTGAAGTGTGGAAGTAAGTGAGATGCATGGGGCCGGTCTCGATATTCACTCGTTTATCTCAGCAGCCGTTAATCTGTAATCAAGCGCGAAAATGAAATATTCGATAGCATGGGTTAAGCAGCAAATAAAAAATCATGCAGAGCTGTTCAAAAGCAATGAGCACGAAGCGTTCTCCTGTCCGACACTGTAACCGAAATTTATTCATAAAAACGTCGTAATTTTGGAATATATAATACATATATAGAAAGCAAGAACGAACACCGAATACGGTCATAAATCACAGCAGAAAATTATAAATCGAATAAGTAACTTATGTACTTGTATTTGTAGCAGTAAGATTTGATGTCTATGAATGCAATGATGAAGAATTATTATTCGCATTGGTATGTGATTATTAAAGTGCAGAATTAAAGTCATTATGCATTAATAAAGTAATCCAGGAGGTAAGCGATGAGAAGTTTTTTTTTCTATTTGAGTAGACGCGGTACCAAATAGTATAAAGACGTCGTCAGAGGATAGAGCTCCTATCTGAGTACACTCCTATGGAACAGAAATGAATCGAACCCAACTTTTCAGTAGTTAAGTGAGAAGAACCCTTAGGTATTAAGATTATAATTCGCTATGTGAATACGAAAGGCACCGCTAATGATTCATAAGGCATAATCTATTTATAATGATTCAAAAGACATTATCCATAATCTATCAGCGGCCGAGATAAAAAAAACAACAGCTATATGCGGACAATGTTGGTAGATACCATCATCAAGGCGCGGTCAAGCTAACCGTCCGTTCGCACCGTTTGAAAAAAGTGGTCGCATTTGCGATTATGGGAGGGGGTGGAGCAGGGTCAGTCCTATCGTTGCTACTTTTCAAAAAGTTTTTACGACCCCCCTCCCTCATGAAATGTTTCATACGACCCCCCTTTCAAAACAATTTTTACCCCAAAAAATTACCGTCGAGCGGGGGGGGGGTATATACTTCCCTTAAAACCGCAAAAATTCCCTACATTTCCTTGCAATTTCCTACGTTTTACCAACTGCTCCATTTTCTAGGGGGGGGGGACGACCCCCCTACAACCTCACCAAAATACGACCCCCCCGTTGCTACTTGTAGCAACATAGGATTGACCCTGGGGTGGGGTCGCGTTCGAAGTTGAGAAAGGTTATTCATGTTTGAGTAAAGTGCGAATAGGGGATATGGGGTATTTGTTTGCGGAGTTTGTTGATGATTTTGGCGGAGATCCCCAATAACTTGTGCCAGGGTGAATATTGCTTGAGGATTCCTCAACGGCACGTCGAGGATTTCTCGCCTGATCCTTTACGTTCTCCGCGCGGATATTCACTCTCGCCACCCGCGAGCCGTCTGTGCTCTCCGCGCGTACATTCACTCTCGGCACTACTCTCGCACAGCAGAGAGCGATGGTCGAGGAATTCCTCGACCGTTATTCACCCTGAACCCTCCCCAAAAAGGGGCAGGTGGGGGGGGGGCAAGCAGAAGTTCGAAAAAAGTGCGAGCGCGACGGCTCACACTGCAAGGCCATGCCGTATGACCATTTCGATGTGGAATTATATTATTACATGAAGAAAGACTCATACAAGGGCTTTAGTGTAGCCATTAGCCATTGTAGCTTTAGTGTAGTTCATTCCTGAACATATACTTACTTGGAATGATGACGTCTGTTGGTCATTACACATCTAATGGTCATATGGAAACCCTTCAAGATGGAGTTCAGCTTATACCGAAATTCGCACATGAATCGGCTCACACTGCCACTATACATTCACATTATGCATGCATATTGTGATTTTAGGAAACACTTAGACTAGACATCAAGGGTATAGGCCTAGTCAGTTTTAGGGGTGACCTTCAAAACTATGTAAGCGTGCCGGGAACCATTTTGAAGAATTTGCTGCATGACGTCCTTGAAAAGTAAAATAGATTAACTCTATAATACAATTCGGCTGTAGAGCTGCCCAACCAGTACCGATCCCCACTCTATAACAGCCGTTGAACTTTAAGTTCTAAGTAGTTGTTTAGATGTTAAGTGGAGTAGGTTACTAGTGACATTTCTTGAGTGAGCAAAAGTTAGTGACAGCCTTTCCGTTCAATAACCTGGTCTCTGTCCTAAGCTGGAAGTATTTTTGTTACAAAGTGAGCAACAGCAGGTGAATGGAAACTGCTAGTGTTTTGAGCGATGAGTTACTAAAATAATCTGAGCAATAGAAGTTGACCAGATTGTGAGGCCAGAAGAAAAAAGAACTAAGCTAAAAAGCAACGATGCGAATTATCAACAAATGTAACAATGAACAAAACGACACCAACATGACGTCACTATGGCGGCACACCGCAACCGCACGCGGCCCCCTAGACCCGCCCTGCAGGTGTTTAGAGGCGTGAGATGAGTCTTATTGTCTGATCTATGTGCTTTAAGATTTGGTTTAAATACACATAGGCTAACGGACGCTGCAACATCTGAGGTGCAGAAGACATTCACAAGCAATGAAAGGCTGACGTTTTCTGCGACATGCACAGAAGACACTGCCGATACCCTTTCAAGCGTAGCGTTTTCACAGCGGTTGATCACCTTTGCTGTTCTAGTGGCACGACATCTTTGAGTTCCTCAGTAGACACGAGATGAGTGAACGAAGCCGGTTTATCCGTGGCGAAATAGCAGAAGATGAGATTTCCAACTGGAAAGTGGCTAATTATTTTTGATTTCAGGTAGATTGTAGTGGGAAAATTCTGCTTATTACCGATTAGAAGTACTCCGTGGATAAGGAAGACTACTCGCCATTCCGTAAGTGTGTTATGAGTACAGATCAGGAATACCAGTAATGGTTCAATGAATAAAGATAAGCACTTGATGAATTGAATTTGTGAGAGTACAAAATGAGAGTGTTGCCTGGAATGAAAAAGATTATTTAAGCATGGAATGTGCGAAAATCACTTTTTTTCGTTCAAGCTCTCAGCCTAGCAGCATGTTCATTTCAACCCTACCTATATGCAGTATGTCCGAACCACTCTCGGTGATCGATTTGTTTAGAAGTTCAAATTTCTTCAAGGGATTAGTCGGGGTCTTTTGCGTAGTCATTTTGCCCCCAAGGCTGTAAGGTTACTCTCTTAGATATTGTGGAAGGGATTCGACAGGCATCTTCAATTCTCTGGTCCTTCAACGCTACACACATTTGGACGGATTCCCTCGTTTATTGTCTCCGGAGGGACTCGTAAAATTAGCAATGGTGGGCATGCCTCAAAATGTACGCCTTCAGTACTCCTTAAATATGCGTAAACATGGTTCCGCTTTTAAAGGCAAACTCCGGGATAAAACGTGGGACTTACCTGTTCAACTATGAAGTACTGGGTGCTAAGTGAATCGAAGCTAAAGAAAAAAGCAGGAAAGTACTCCAAAGAAGTCCAAAATAAGAAATTTCTCTTCGTTAGTCGCTTAGAAGCCAGGGCTGGGAGAATTACGTGTCTGGACGTGTCTACAGCAACTGTTGGCTTTATGCCAGCAACCGACACGGCCACAAAAAGTCAGCAATGAAAACTGATTGCTTCTAATAAGCCAGCCTCCTTCACTGCTAGTGGGAAAGAGGGTTTTGTTAACGGCCTTGTCGACGGTTTTTCTCAGTTTTTTCTCCACTGTCGTTCCACTTCGCATCTCTATACTCAGTTTCAATCGCCATAATACCCCCTTATTAAGCCCGACTTTTGCCTTTAACTAGGGAAATCTCCACGATAATCACAGTACGACGCGAAAGTGCCCCGATCCCTGCGGTTGCGGATCCAGTACCCGCATTCAAAGGTTGGAGAGGGGAGGGGGAGGAGGGGAGTGGTAGAGTTATGTAGTCCCTTTGTTATTCCT